CCAAATATGAAAACTGATCTAACTGAATATATTAACAATTGTGACACGTGCCAACAAACAAAATATGATAGACATCCACCAAAATTAAAGTTTATGTTGACACCGAGCCCTTCTGAACCATTAGAATCCATCCATATGGATACTTTTCAAATATGTAACGTAAAATTTCTTACAATTATAGACGTATTTTCACGGTACGCCCAAGCTTATCCGTTAGAACCCGCTTGCACAGCAATTGCTATCTTAGACGGTTTAGCGACCTTTATAAGTCATCACGGCCTACCTCAACAAATAACGTGTGATAATGGTACGGAATTTAAAACGTCTTTGCTTTTAGATTTCTGTAAATTGCATAAAATTGCAATTCATTTTACAACTCCCGGCAATTCTAATAGTGATAGTCCAATAGAGAAATTTCACTCTACTCTTGTTGAATTATATAGGGTACTAAAATTTAAAGAACCTAAAGAAGCCCCTAAAAATTTAATAAAATACGCAATTATAGGTTACAATTCAACAATGCATAGCGTAACAAAACAAAAACCTTTTGACATTATTAATGGAAAATTAAACGGTTTAGATCCCTTTGATTTAACGGATGAAATCATTGTAAATAATTATATCGCAGATAAACGTGAAAGACTAAAAACTATCTATCAACAAATCTACGAAACATCGTTAGAAACAAAAATACGTTTAAATGAGAAACAAAACGAAAAACGAGAAAATCCACCGGAAATGAAACAAAATACCAAGGTTTACGTTACTGACAAAACAGCAAAACATAGTAAGGACCAACCCCGAAGAAAACCTGTTATTATAGATCAAGATTTTGGGAATAAAATGATCACAAAAAATAAAAAAATAATTCATAAATCTCAGATCCAAAAACCTAAAGCTTTTTCTTCTTCGCAGGTTAATGAACCGGACAACGCTGTTCCTTCTTGCAGCTACGCTGTTATTAGTGATAGCGAATAATGATATTGAAGTTATCCCAATTAAAACACCACTTCTCCCCTTCCGCTTAGGAAATGCTCGCATAATTCAACATCAACATACATTTTTGCATTTTGTAGAAACATCTCAACTTTTTAATCAATTACGTAATTTAGAATACGCTTACGCTGTAATCTCAAAATCATTAAACTATACAAATAAACATAATTATCAGAATGTCCACTATATTAATGGAAATAATTTACTTAATAATGTTCGATATTTAATTACACAAGTAAAATTTAAACTTGGTAACATAAAACCTAATAACCGTACAAAGAGAGGTTTAATAAATGTTGTAGGTAAATTATCGAAATGGCTTCTTGGTACTCTCGATTCAGAGGATGGACAAAAATATGATAAAATTATCACAGAACTTGTGCGTAGTAAACATTCATCTGACATCCACAACAGCTGATTGACAACTATAATGATACTATAACACTTCTACAGAAGAAGAAGCTATTAAAAAACATATAGACATTTTTGAATATAATTCAAATAAAACTATTACTGACATAACTACTTTCATTAAAGCTCAAAATACACTAATGCAAATAATTCTAAATTGCCAAAGTTTTATAACTTCTTTGGATAATTTAGAAAATGCCATTACATTTGCGAAATTAAACACATTACATCCTGTAGTAATATCGGCGGCTGAATTAGAACAAATAATTTTTAAATTGACTGTTCTCTATGGTGATAATCAAATTCTAATTTTTGAAAATCAAAATAATTATTATCAGTTAGCAAACTTTCAAGTTAAATTTACAACAGATAAAATAATTTTTGCCGTCCATATTCCGATTTTTCTTAAAGAAATTTTTGAAATCTTCCACCTATTCCCAGTACCTGTGAATCACTCCTTAATTATACCTAATTCACCCTACCTAATATTGGGCACTGACATGCAACAATATCAAGAATCAATCTGCCCAATCATTGAAGACACCTACATTTGCGAAAATCAACTTACCCAGCCCATAGGTGATTGTGTGACAACCCTATACGACCAATCACTAGTAGATTTGTTTTGATAATACCATCGGAACAGAAACCTAAAATAACCAAAGAATTGTCAAAACAAAGAAATAGCTTTTATTGAAGAAACCTGCCGAATCAATGTTCCATATAATTGTGGTATAAGTACCCAAAATACCGAGCTTTAGAATAAAGAAGAAATTTTTAAAGCAAACCCATTCTCACTGCCACCCATTAAAATTGAAAATATGGAACATCACGATGTGAAGTACCAGCCACTCCAACTACAATCGATTGATCTCAATACGATCAAAAAACTACGAGAAGCTGCGAAATCATCGATCCCCAACATTGGTTATGAAATTCATCCAGTCACTTGGAGTCTCGCCACTTCAACAGGAATGATGTTTATTTTAATCCTGTTAATAGTTATAGCATGGAAAATCTACAAGAGCCATTTGCTGCAAGATTCCAAGAAAACCAAGAACGACCAGTCTTCCGAAAACAACCCTTCGTCCCTCTTGTTTTCCACTTCGAAGGGAGGAATTATGTGACAGAATATGCTGATGAAATGCTAGCTTCAGTATTCCCAGTATCTGCGACGCGACGCTTGCATAAAAACTTTATATATATATGAGAATTTTGTACTTTGTGTTCAGTTCTCCTTGTAATGGGTTAAATAAAACCTCGTAGTTCTGTTTGTAAAACAAAAAGGTGTTTTTTAAAAACGAGACCCTTCGTTCGAAAACCTTAACTAATACACGGTGTAGTTTTTTCACGGACCATATGAAAAAACAACGTTGATGGCCATCTTGTAGATCTCAAAAAGTGGCAACGAGGAACTGACCTTTATTTTTTTATATCTAAATTAAAACGAAATCGGCAAATTGTTTTTTTTTGCGTATCTTCGGAAGTGATGGGAATTTTTTGTTTTCTCAACAGCACGTAATTAACCTTTAAATTTTGCAACTTATTTATAAATTAACCATCTTCACACCTCTTACAGATTTCAATATCGCCATGATAAATATAAAGAAAGCCAAAACTCCATGCATGCATAGCCAGACCGCAATGCTTTTCAAAACGGGATTTTTGAAATTCAAATCTAAATTAAAGACCATAAATATCTTATCTGAGACACACTGTACATATGAAAAATGTTTTGTGAAAATCTGGCAGTTTAGTTTCAGGATACAGAACACCGATCTAAAATAAGGTGCTATAATTTTGCGCACTTTTGAGTTGTGATAACGTGAAAGAAGTTTCTAGATAAATGTTTTGCTTCACCCTTTATAATTAATGAATTTCATACTAAAAGACCTAACTATAACAAAAATTTTAAAAATTTTAATGTAAGGATTTTATTTATTATGGGCTATTGTTAAAATTATAGGAAAATTCTTAGAGTTCTCCTTTGTACAACATTAAGCACCTGGGAATGGGACCCAGAAGACTTTTGTTCAGAATATCACAGATGACACTTTTTTTTTTTTAAATTGACCGGACTCCACTTACATATGAAAAGTAAGGTGTCCTTTCTACGAAATGCATTGCATTGAAAAAGCTTACATGAGTTTGAAAAACATTTAACCTTCATTTGAACTTGTGCTCCTTTTGAAAACATGAGTCCCTCCACACTGCAGGAAAATACTCTTAAAACTTGTTTTAAGAGTATTTTCCTGCAGTGTCTAAATATGGTACAGTAAAGTTTCCAGTGACGGCAAAAATATAATTCCATATTTTTTGGAGGAAATTATAAGTTTTTTCTATAGTCAATTTAATATTTCAAAATAATTAACGAAAATAATCTTTATTTTAAATTTGCTAATTATAAGTGCTCGCTTTTAAATTGTTTTCCAATTCCAGTATTTGTTTTTCCGTTTATTACTAATTACAAAAGGTAAATAAACATGTTATTATTGCTAATTTAACTTAACGACGACGTATACAGCTGCAACACAAAGATATTAGGAATCTAAAACTTGGCCCGGATTTCCCTAATCCCTGCGACATCTAGTATGCGAAAATTAAAGTACCAAAAATTTCCTATTCTATACGGGGCCGCAAAAATCGATACTGAATTTCATTTATTTCAAATTTAAACGCTGATATCGAATAGTCGTATGGTTTCGCGGAACTTGCTCTTACATAGTTCAATCAATCGTCTGCGATCCATTACAGAAAATCTTCAGTCATCCAAAATTTAGAAAAATGTCTAGGTAAGAATTACCGTTAAATGAGTATTCTCGTTCAAATGTTTTAATGAGCACTTGTAACCCGATCGTGTTTAGAACACGTCCTTCTTCCTTGTTCTTAAGTTGGAGTTGAAACGCTTTCCTTTTGTTTGTTCTTAAAACAAGCGAGCAAGATTTCTTTTCAATAAAAAATTTTTTTATGGAAGTTAAGGACATAATGTATAAAAGTAAATTCCATATGTCCCGCAAACGCAAATGTGGTGAACAAGTTATTCCAGAAATAGTGAGAATATTACGAAAATACTCATAAGCAATTTGGTGCATGCTAATCTTTAATCCAAAACTAACGATTGGAAATTTGGATTTGAAACATCTTTAAACTTGAAAATAATTTTATGTTAGATGCTAAATCCATCGATCGATATATTATGAGACGTTTCATGCGAAGCAGACTGAAGGCCAGTTTTGATTATTGAAAAATAGATAAAAAATTTATGAAAAAACCAAACTGTAATTTCCGCAAAGCTTTTTATGATGGCAAAGCTTTACATGGTCGTATACAGATGTTTAAGAGCTACTAAAGAGCTAAAAAAATATGTTTTTTTAATTCTTTTATTAATAAATTATTAAATCTCGAATATTTTGCACACCAATCAAGATTTTAATAATGTTGTAGCGAGAATATAGGTATGTAGCTATGCAGAATCCGAAATTTCACAATATTCCCGATAAATACTTTACAAGTTAGAATTTTTATGGTGTGTTGATCCATTCATCTAGATCTCGGGTATAAGCAATACTAACTAATCGCCCTGAAATAATTACCTGTCTCTTGTGTCACTAATCCAACTGTTATTGAAAATAGCCACTTCGTCGTACCAGAGAATAATAAGTTCTTTCATTGCTCGAATTTTATTTATTTTGGGGTTCGAACTGCTGATGAATCCCAAATTTTGACCGACATGTTCAAAATCAGCTAGATGGAATAACAAATAAAAGTTAGAAAAAAACAAAATGAAAATGACTGATATTAAAATTTCCTTAGTAAATATTTACCATTCGAGAACATTAAATAAATTAATATGGATCGGTAATTGGCTGTTTCGGAGATTGATATTAATGTATTTTATATGAATGCGTCAATATTTTTTGCCTTTAAGTGTTAATTTTGTTATTTGCTCAACGATATAAACGACCTTAAGTTATTTTAATGTTAAGTATCACTTTCAACTTACAAGTTCTTCGGCACCTATCATGTATGAGGGGATTCCCGTTGCACGTATTGGCCCAACACTGCGATATAAACTCCAACTCCTTGTTGTATTTCTAAATGTCAGACGCAGAGCGACCTATGACAAAAGCTTTCCGACATAATAAGCCTTACCATTATGTTCATATTGCTGGCGGAAGGTTGTCTACCCCTTTTTTCAAACCCTAGGGCTACTTTATTTCTGAAGTAGTTGTGAATGTCAAGAATATATTGTCTATCGTCGTCGTCCAAATCGATTACAGCAAACTGAAGTCCGCATTTTGATCCAGCGCCGCATCTCTAAAACCGAAGAAGAAATAAACTCCTGGACAAAATTACGGCAACATCATAAATTTGCCACATTTTTTATGCCATTTTTTTCTGAATTTATGATCCGATTTGAAGTAAATTCGCCAGACTGATAAAAACTCTTCTGAAACAGCTTATTAGTATTAAACGCAGTAGCAGTTGTTATTTTATTCTTGAAAAATGAATCGACCAAAACATTTATCGACAGAAGGAGCAGTAAGAGCTTTAACTTTAGTGGATGAGGGTCATTCAATGTTTCATGTTGCTAAAGTGATAGGAAAACATCGTTCAAATATAAATCGTACGGTTAAACGATTTAACAAGTTAGGTTCTTACTCCCGAAGGCCGGGACAAGGACGACAAGCATATACCGATCCATAGGATGAGCGTTTTATTAGGCAAACTATTATAAAAAACAGAAAGATCGCTAATACTAGGGTAAAAAGTAAACTTTCGCCATCATACAATAACTTCTCGAACAATCAGAAGACGTTTAAATGAGACTGGTTTAAGCAGCAGAAGGCCGACAAATAACAATTGGACGGCGGTTTTATTTTCTGACGAAATAAGAATTAGTTACAATTCTCCTGATGGGCTTGAACGTGTTTGGCGAAGAGCAGGAGAGAGATTTACAAGTTGCAATATCTCACCAAATATTCTGTTTGGTGGAGGCTCTGTAATGTTTTGGAGATAAATATGTTTCCACGGGCACACAGAGTTAGTCCCTATACGTGTACAAACGATGAACGCGATGATTTGTGCATTTTTCGGGACCGCAGGATAATGCTCGTCCCCACGTAACTAGACAAGTTATAGTCAACATGATCTCTGTAACTATTCCATTGATGGAATGGCAACTGGTGGATAGATGGACTGTGAGCCCGATTTAAATTCCGTAGAGCATCCATGCGATGCTCTAAAAAGGAAGGTTCGAAGTCGCAATCCCGTACCGGTTAACCACAATCAATTGGTGAATACAGTAACTGCAGAAGGGGAAATATTCATTCACATTTCATTTCCAGCTTGCCAAAGCGTATGAAAGTAGCGATTCGAAGCACATGTAATCTTAATATTGTAATTTCTTCATTAAAAAAAAGTATCTCGTTAATTTTTTTTTATTTATTAAAGCGAGCAACGTTGAATATATATATACTTGAAAACATTTAACAATGAACGTATTGAATCATAAAATTTAATAATAATAATAAAAGTTACCTGTTGTTCTCTAACACACACCGTGTGATTCAGACTTTCGTATCCTAAGTCGCATTGCAATTGGCAGTATGCGTTCTGGAACGCACTGGACAGACCCGATAAGCTTAAATGACATACAAATAAGACATACACGACGAACATATTTCTAATAGACTCGGAGGTCTGCGAAAAACATGACTTTTAAGTAAAATGGTCAATCGCTGAATGCTATGAAATATCAGATTAACAATCAAGCTGAAAAAAAATATTAATTACACATTCTTCCGCAATTAGAGTTACAAGAAAATCGTGCAGGCAACATTATTGCGTGAACGTTGTTTAATTTCGAGGCGGATAGTATTTTACAGCAAGGTAAACTCTCTTAAATTAATGTATGAATGAATTGAACGTCGTTATTGTTTTAGTAGATCCGCCAGTAGAGATACTCAAATTGCTAATGGCAATCTAAATTATTCGTGTTGCACAGGATGTCCCGAAATAATGATTTCGATATCGATGTTAAATATCGTATAGTCTGTTCATAGATATAAGAAAGTGACCAATTGCTTTGGAATGGGGTTATCCATTTTAACAGTATAAGTTAAGTATAAGTTAACATACAATGCAACAAGATTATTACCTAAAGTTTCGGAATTAAAATTCAGGTAAAATTGTTAATTTTATACCTACCTGTGTTTAATATTCTTTGGTTTGGTGGTATACTACTTAGTTTAAGTTTATTAGTAATCATTCTTATTTCGTGTGTAATACAGCGTGTTGAATCGTGTGCGAGTATCGTGTATCTCAGGAGATGCTCCCGCCCAAACGTAGAAAACACTATTCTATTGAGACTATGGAAGTTATAAACAATGTTTATTTGACTCTCATTGAACGTGGTGCCAGCAAGCAAGCATCTTTAGAGGCAACGGCCACATTGACGAAAATTCCAACATCAACTGTATGGAAAATTGTGAATAATTCCAATTAAAGAAGCGATGCTGACATTTTCTCGAGTGTAGATGAAAGTGATCAAGATATAATACGGCGTAAAATTTACCAGTTACACAAGGAACAAAGCGTATCTACATTAGATATATTAATTAGGAGGTTTGAAAAAAGATGAAACCGGTGTTAAATGTGGCAGAACTACCTCATGGAAGTGTATTCAACACATGGGTTTCAGATTAAAAAAAAGGCAATTTTTAATGGAATCTTTTAGAATTCGGAAATAGCGACTGGAATATCTAAAAAAAATTAGGATTTACAGAGTACAACAAGGCCAATTATTTACTTGGATGAAACCTAGTTCAACACTTATGATACACCGGAAAAGGGTTGGGTTGACTCAAATGATAAGTGTAAAACAAACGCGCCATCAAAAAGAGGTAAAAGAATAACTATTTTGCATGCTGGCTCTAAAGATGGTTCGAAAAAGCAGAACAATCGTATATCCATATTGCAAATAATATAGAACAAATAATAATTAGAACAGGTGATGATAGCGATAGTGATACTGATATATTATGTGAATAATTTTAAGTAATTTAAGTAGGTAATAAAAATAATTTGTAATTTTATTTTAGATTTAAACATAAATACGTACATAAATTAATTAATATTGTTTAGTATCTTTCCTAACAAAACCACAAATAATTAAATTCTAAGCAAAATACGGACCTGTTCGGTCATATTTCATTCTTACAGCTTGCCCGGGTCTTTCCTTAATTCGTATCAGTTAGTCACTTTCTTATATCTATGAACAGACTTTACCACAAAAACCTACAATTAATATAAATTTCAATAGTTTCAATTCGTCAAGGGGCTATAATATTTCCAGTTTCCGTTATATTTATAATTATTTCTAGAAAACTTGAGCTTACATTTTGTGAGTCATCGGGATTTAGATTTTGTGAATTGATTAAACTATTAAGTATTATTTCCGAAAATGAAATAGTAGTCAATTACATGGTCTAAGACAAGAAAAGTGTCAGTCCAGTTCAGCGTGGTTGAAATTCAAATCTCGGTACATTGTTATAAGTGACTACCGGTAAATTTACATTCAATGAGAAAAATAATATACAAGATCCATGTGACCATTATACTGTCAGAGAGCATTGCATTTGAAGAAGATTAATATTTTTCCACTTTCCGTTGTCGAAGTTAGTGTCATATATTAAAGATGATAATGATTATTTCTTAATTAGTTATATTTTAGTTGGTGTCCTTGAATTTGAAGATGTAATATTGAATGAAGGTGCGTAAAAAGTCTCGAAAATTTTTAATACATATAGAAAAATAGTTTCGTAAATATATCTTACTCAGCAAACAAGCGGTCATGACAAACATCGTTCGTGTGTATACATATATATTGCTATGATTATTTCAAATCCGTAAAAGGGACTTCAGGCATAATACACGAAGTTATGTAGACGACAATTATTTGCTTAAGACATGTTTCCTTAATTGATCTTAATTAGGATTTTTTTTTCGGTTTTCTGATGAATCACATCGCGTGTCAAAAATAATTAACTTTATACGACCAAGTCAGTACAAATAAAATCCGGGACGGATTCATTTATTTATTATTTATCTGATTTATCTGCGGCTATGTTTACTCTACCGAACAAAAGAATTTAGCCTCCTCTACTATACAGGGTGTATTAGAATTCACTACAAAGCCAAGAATAAGTCTACTTTTTTATATTAGCATGTATTCTAACTTGGTTTTCAAAATACAGAGTATCAAGGTTTATAGACAAAAATTTTTTTATTAATCCTTCAAAAATAGCTGATTTTGACACAACCATTTGTTGTCAAAAAGAATTTCATTTTGTTTAATCAAAATAAAATTATTCATTCCGGTGGCGTCTCAGGCTCAAATTGTTGTTTGTAGCTAAAATCGCCATTGTTTTAAGATTTTATTATTTTTTTAGACCAAACAATGAAAAATGAAACTCTCTTGTCCCGTTTTTTTCTGGATGTAGCTTCGTCCTCAAAATAAAAATTAAAAACTATTGCACATTCGTGTATATACTTTCCGAAGAAATCGAAACTTAAATAATAAAATAATTTAAGATACATATTTGTATGACAAAGCAGACACACATAAATTTTGCTAGTAAATAATTATTGTTTGTTTGCTATTTTCCATTTATTTCTTCAAATTAGCTACGGTAAAATATTGCTTCCAATGTTTTTGGTAATATCTAAAGTTATAAAAAAATATAGTTGAGCACGCCCCCTTATTTGCAAAACAACTGCTAAAACTTCCGCATTAAGTTTTTGGTATATATTAGGAAGATAAAAACATTTCTTCGAGCTAATTTTGATTGACGAGCAAATCGATAATTTATTTTTGGCTTGGCAGTACGTATTAATAAAACCTTCGTTATAAACACGATCAATGTAAAATGTGGCCTATTCGCTATATTACTGCTTAATTATCGCATACGTATACCCACATCTCAAATCGTTTTGAATCGCGAGTAGAATCCATGAAAACACACTTTTTTCCTGTTTCTGTTTTCTTTCTTTTCTTCTGTAGACTAAACACACTATAATAATTTTTGAGGTAAAATGCTATTCTTCATGAAGTCTTAAATTTCTTCGTATCCTGAAATAACTTAATAGTATTAGTAGTACGTATTCTCTCTCTGACTCTTTAACCTGATCTACTTGTTACTAATCACCATTTTCTTTTTTTTTTGTTATTTTTTGTTATTTATATAATCACAATGCATACAATTTCAGAAAAATATTTATGGCAAAGTTCTACTAGAATGTATGTATAAATATTCAACATAATTCCAAAGTAGGTGTTTAATCATCGTTTTGTGTTGAAGTACGTTTACCTTAGATATTGTTATAACAATAATTCATCTCCTGGCAACATTTTTAATATTGATATTAAACCGGTCTAGCACATCCGTCTAAAAAAAATCTTAAAATCAAGTTATTTTATCATCCTGTAGGTGTATCCTCGAGCGATAAGTGAGTGTTAATAATTATATATGATTGCATATTTGTATCTCGTCAAAACACTTGGCAGTTAGTGTTTGTGTTGAAGTGTTTAATCGTTCGGATTCTTTTTCGTTTCTCAAATCATTTACGGTCAGTAAAAAAGCATCTAATTATAAAAATTATATTGCAAACTAGATTCATAAATGTCAAAAATTGATTATCTCTTATCAGTGAACCTGAATCGAGTGCGCAAACAAAAACTTGACTATTGTTCTACAAAAATTATCATTTTCTACTGTGGTTTGTTTTTCGAAAGTAATTTTATTTTAATAAGGTGTGTGCGCCTATGTTATAAATATATCGAATGCTAAGCGTGTATAATGTAGATTTTATGAACAATTGTTGAGATAAAGTTGAAATTTTTCAAAACTGCTTGTTTAGGTTATGTTGACGACGTGCGCGTTATAGGTGTCGCTGTGGTGTTAACCGATGTAATTTTTTAAAACAATTTACTTATAAGTTTCTTAATATCTTCGTTTTCAAAATTTTTCGTGATTATTACTGAGAAACGTTCACACATAAAAGGACGAAACGATTTCGACCGCTCATTTAACATAATCAGCTTAGAAAGAACCTCATTCAACGCTTAGAAATCTGAGCGAAAATTATCCAAATTATAAAGAATTGGAAAACGATACTAAAAAAAATAGTCTTTTCCTTTGCCTAATCCATTAATGTTATTCATAATTCTTCGAACGGCGATAGCACTATCACGTCCATTGATTGTTTGCAAAGCAATAAATATTTTTTTATATACAACACGCCGCTGTATAATATCCGAAAATTTGGTCTATACGCATTTAGTTCTATTTTAGTTCGCAGTCAATGATCTTAAATGGCGGCGGACATTTAAAAATACGTCCACAGTACGATGTGTTTGTAACAAGGAACTGTGAGTTTCTATCAGATTATTTTATTAACACGGACTCTTACCAATGTGTGCAAAAAGTTAATAAGTTTTCAAATTCCTTCTTACAAGGGATTATACCATCATTTTATTTCCAAAATTTTAAATTCTTTCTATAAAACGACATTGATTATTCTTTTTTCCTATTTTCTTATTAAATAATAAAAATAAAAATTCCACTTCACTAACCAAAATATACTTTTGTTTTAGATTGACTTTTAAAATTATTAAAATTTCAAAATTTTAAAAGCAGATGGATTTCATAATTCGCTGTTTATTGCTGGACTTCATAGAAAGCAATGAAATAATTATAGCTTCACCTACCGTCTTATTATTAACCCTATTGCGTGAAATGGATCATTAACGTTGCAATTTGTACTTTGAATTACTGGTACCGGATATATTCTGCTATTGTTAACGGCGACCCCAGAGTCGTAGAATATTAGAAATATATGTTGCCGACCACACAAAACTTGTATAGCTAACTAACATGGTAAACCTATCATATATTATTAGGGCAATTGAATATAAGATGAAGGTTAAACTTAGGAAAATAGGATTTTCTTCGGGAACTTTCTATTAATTCAAAAGAAAAATTATTTCTTCGACAAAAAGGCAGAGGATAGTAATATATAAGAATGATTAGCAAGCAACAGATAATAGGAAAGTGCATTACTATAGACACCAAATAAAATACAATATCATTCAAAAATTATGGTTTTGTTAGATGACTGCTGTATTAGTAGCTAAATTTCGGAATGGGTATAGTGTCTCGTTTAAACCATTAAAATGCTGAATTAAGTCGAAAATAGGTACGCCACTGTATCGCAGGTAATATCCACATCAACACGAGAAATAAAGTGAATTCCCACGATTTGGCGCGTCAATGTAGAAAAAACCTGAAAATGCAGAGGTATGGGGAAAATATAATTTGGGAAAAACAAAAAACAATTTTAAAACTTTTCAAATGGCCTCGCTTACTAATATATTTTATTTCATCTCCAGAACTGACGAAGAACCCGACGAAGAAGATCCGATGATGGATTTTGACGACATGTTGGAAGAGCTCGGGGAATTAGGAAGGTTTCAGATCATCAACTATCTTCTAATCTGCCTACCTGTACTATTTGCTGCCGCCAACAGCCTTAGTTACGTTTTCACAGCGGGAGTACCAGAATACAGGTAAGTAATAAACTATACCATTCGTTTTACATTACTTGACTGGACAGTGCCAAATTGTGGAAAATCGTCATGAATTACACCTAAGTCATGACAATTTTAATAAGGTGTGTGTGCCTATGTTATAACTATATCGAATACTAAGCGTGTATAATGTTGACTTGATGAACTATTGTTGAGACAATGTTGAAATCTTTTAAAACTGCTTGTTTAGGTTATGTTGACCACGTCCGCGTTATAGGTGTCGCTGTGGTGTCAACTGATGTAATTTTTTAAAACAATTTACTTATAAGTTTCTTAATATCTTCGTTCTCAAAATGTTTCGTGATTATTACTGAGAAACGTTCACACATAAAAGGACGAAACGATTTCGACCGCTCATTTAACATAATAAGCTTAGAAAGAACCTGATTCAACGCTTACAAATCTGAGCGAAAATTATCTAAATTATAAAGAATTGGAAAACGATACTAAAAAAATGGAACATATTAATAGGAATTTTTAAGCTTTTTTTGACGATATTGAACTATAATATAGTGCTGCTGATGTAGATCAGGCAAATGTTGACATTCAAAATAATCTAAACAACAAAACTGCTGAAAACTGCAAACAGCATAATTTACCTTTAAATCCTAATAAATGAGTATAATTTATTTGGTCCAACGAAGAGACTTACCGTTATTAAAAATTTAATAAACTTCCGTAAAAATTCTCAATCCGTGTCACTCACGAGTCAGGTAAGTATCTTGGCTTTACATATGAGTCTAGATTCAATTTTGTCTTGAATCCTTTGAAGTTGTACAACACCCTTAAGTTGTTGGGTGCTAAACGATTTAATCGTACTTATTTAAAGTACTTTCTAAAGTGAAACAAGTGAAAAAGTAAATTGGAATAAATGTGTTTTGGGTTTTATGACAGTTAAGTAAATTAGGTTAAATTGTAGGGAAATAATGTACGTTTAAAATCCGCAAAAACAACAATTTAAAAGTGTTGGTTTTGTATTCGGGAGACTAATACTGAACCATAATAATTTGCTTGCTTCTTAGTATTTCCTATAACATGGATATAAATAAAACAAGTGTTTCTTATCCCCTACTGAATGCGAATAACCAACAAATACGCACTATACGTAAGCTATTTACTCCCACGACACCGCAGAAAAAAAATAATCTGATCACCTTGTAGAATAGCCATTTAAAATGACCTTGGAAACGGCGATAGACAAAGAATCATCCGACCAGGAAAATTAACTTAAAAAGTTCTTTTAATTTAGTATCGATAAAATTGTCAAAAGCATATTGCAATTCACTTTTAAGTAGTTGGATGCGTGATTACGTTTACAACGATTTTAATTGTACAATGAGGTGATTCTTATTCTGAATTCGTCACGATTAACGAAATTTGAATTTGTTGTATATACAGCTTCATGGCAAAGTAGTAAGGTGCAGTTACATACACTTGTGGCTTTTTGTATTAAACATAAAATGGAATATAAAGAAAAAAAACGGTTCGGCATTTTTCGTATGACTTCTATTTTTACTAAAATCTAGTGAGTTTGATGTTGAAAAACGAGAAAAAAAAATTGCGCAAAATATAGATATATATAAATATTTTAAAATCAAGGGTCGGCGCGAAGCTAGAAAACGAATCCTTTGCGCAAGACCAGGCCGCATGACGTCAGTAGCCAGACACAACCGACGCCGCGTTGTGCCGTGTGCCGTGTGTATTTTATTTATTTTTCTACTCCCGTCTGTAAAATACTTAATTACACACCTAGCGTGCGGTAAGCGCCACTTTAACACGCCAGTTTCGTTTCGCACGGATCCGAGCTACTTCGGACATTTGCGAGAATTTACCGCACGGGTTTGGAGCAATCGGATGTTTTCGGAGATATTTCCCACGCCTTGAATTTTGACGTTTGTCAGTTCTGACGGTCATGTCAGTGAATATATTCGTGTTGTTTTGCGAAAATTTACCCAAAAACTAACGGTCGTAGAAAAATTATAGTATGCAACACGTTCGGTAAACTTTTTAAGTCACTCGTTTATTAAATACTCGCTCCGCTCGTGTCAAATAAACTCGTGAGTCAAATGCCGTTTACCGCACTTGTTGCATAATATACTATTGTGGCAACATAATAACGCAAATTTAAACGAACCTCAGAGCGTGACGTTCTTTAACGGTAAGAAGTGTGGTAAGTATATAATATTATATCTAGCACTAATGGGTAAAATTTATTTTTTCTTTATTTTAGTTCATTGGAAGTTTATGATATTAAAACATGGTACACACGCCGGGTCGTAACAATTATGAAAGCTATTATTTTTTTTTCTGCATTGAATATTCTGTTTTGCATGCAGTAACGGCAAAGAAAAAAAACGGCTCTGGTATACTTAAAAGTGCGTTTTATTTGCTTCTACAATTTACAAAATATGTTTTTTTCCCGAATCAAAGTTCCCTCTGGTATTGGCTAAGCGATCACATTCCGAAAATGTCAAAAATAAGCGAATTTCTCCTTCATGAGAACGTACTTTCAATGTTTCAAAGAAAATGAATATACATGGTATTATTTCAAATATAGGCTAACAGAAATGTACGAAGCATCGTACTTACTTCATATTAGGAACCTAGTCAATTTATTAGTAAAATTATTGGACACGTACACAATAAAAAATTTGATTTTTGGCCCCTTGTTTTGTATAACTTTCTTGGACTTCTAAAAATCGAAATTACTTTGTAACGAAAATTGGCTCGGATCGTGATGTGAACTATGTGATGTTTTAAATGAGAGAAGTTCTAGGAGAACGACCAGTCAAGTAGATATAATCTCATAATCTTTTTTTTTTTGGAGACGACTTGAAAATCATAAATTTGAATTCAGGGAGACTTTTCGTTTGAGGGCCCCGCAACCGGCACTGGCGGCAAATATCTTTCTGCCTTTTGACGTTGAGCACTCGCTGTTTTGTAGAGATTAAATGTCTGTTATATTCTAGATAGTATTCCATATCATTTTGAGTTCTGATTTCACATCGAACTCCGTCAAACCACTTTTTACGTTGTAGAGGAGCTTGTGGAACATTTACAGAATTTTTTTTTTTATGTACTGGACGAGTTTGTATATTTTGGAACAAAACACCATTTCCTGTTTGCCATTTTTAATTCCGATAAAGTTCACAGAATTTAACAGTAAATCCGCACCCGCTTAAACTAGATACTCTAAACCCAACACCGATGACTGCAACATTATTGTGGATATCGTAAAGCCAGCCGGCCAACCAGTCTCCTGTGTCTGGCTACTGACGTCACTCGGCCAAGCCTCGTGCAAAGGTATGGTTTTCTAGTAAATATGAATATTTTGTTCTCAATTTTGTATATCGTTTTTTAAGCACAAAATCTATCGCTTTCAGTTCAAATAAAAAAATATCGAACTATAGTCGAAAGATAAGTGCAGGAAAGAGCAATTTACAGGATATACGAAAAGTCATGATTCAATATTTATTGGCAATGCTTATTTTAATCATATAATAATAGAAAAGAATAAATGTGTACTGAATATCTCAGAAGGTACATTTTTTTGTAATTTCACGTGCGAAGTTAAAGACAAAATTACTTTGAACCACTACTAAAAAAATCGTATTATATGTTTTAATATACATAAATATACATATATATATACTCGAGCAAAGGAGGAACTACGAGTTTTATTATGGATATCATTAATGGTAGTTCCAAAAATTGTATTTTATTGGTTATTGACGAAGCAATGATAATATTTTTATCACAACTCAACAACAAAAGCTCAACCTTCATTACGAGTGTACAACAACACAACTGAAAAACGTAAAGGTTTGGTTAATCAAATTTTAAAATTTTCCTTTGCCAAAGAAAGTGTACTAATTATTAATGACTAATTAAGAATAAACAGAAAGTAAGGCTTTGTTATCCTTTGAATATTACCTGTGAAAATCGTCAAACGTCGAGGCGCTTTGGGACGGGCAGTATATGTTAAACTTGATCATTTCGGTGCAAAAACATCATCTTGTCGGTAATTTTAAAATCGTACGCAAATAAATTGTGTGATTTTTATTACTTATTTTGTACTCGTATTAACATCGACATCAAATGCGAATCGGCTATTATCATGATCATTTTTGCCGTGGCGTTGCTGGCAGTATCGGTGTACTTGGTGTCACATTTAATAAAAGTTTATAGATATAGAAGAATCCTTGCAAAAATCCCATCGCCTGATGGGCATTGGCTGATCGGAAATGCGGTCTGGCTTTTAAGCAACCGTCCAGGTGACAAAAATTATTATAATGCTGAAATTCATTGGTAAGTGTACATGTTTTACGTGCATATAACATAGGGAAGGTACATGGTCGTTTCCAAATCCCACAAAGATACTTTGCTATGACGTTTATATTAGTAAGTAGAGAACTACTGTTTAAAGATCAAATTAATTTGGGAACTAAATGACAGCGATTGTTCTTCGATGTTTCTCAGCAATTTATTCCACTACTTAACGATACTTTACATCACGTACCTACAAAGTATTAACTGACATGGTATAGCGCAATCGAAAGGACTAAACTTATTATTATAAATTAATATTAATAACATTTGTTTTATACGTTCGGTTTTTCGGGAGGTCTTTTTATTATTCACTGTTGAAAGTGCTAATATCATCAACAAAATCTTTCAATAGAGATATTGGTGTTATAATAATAAATCATTTGAGAAACTTCATCTATTTTTACAAATAAAAATATTCTATTTATTAGGAAAACGTCGAAAAGCTATCATTAAATTGAACCTTTACCGTTATGGACGCTTTTCGGTACTACCTAACTCAAACAAACAATCTATCAAATATATATTTTCTGTATACTGGTTGTTAAGGACATTAGGAGACCTAACACAATCATATGTTATGTACAAAAGTGTATAAGTATAAGTATATAGCATACATATACATATACATACATTATACAAAATAAACAAAAATTAAATATACGACATACGGTGAAAATTAATATATAGTTTATAATCTCGAATTGTTTTTAAATCTGTCTGTTTATAAACAAACGAGAGAGCTACATGCATAAGTAGTAGCTTTGAATGAGTTTATACTGTATGTACACTATTACGATTTTTTAATTTAAATACAATTCATAATACATAATTTTTTTAAACAACTGCTATAAGCACACTAACAAAAACGAAAATAATTAAAAATGATTAAAAATTAAAAATCTTGATAATGAACATAGCATTAACGAAAAAAATATAAATGTGTGGCTGATTTGCAACTACCTCAGAACCTACCCTATATATTCAAGTAAATTAATGTACGCTTACCACTAAATTATATATTTTTTGCATCTGTAGTAGTTTTTCTGCGAACATTATTATATGGAAAGACTGTTTCCGGTATTTTCCACTAAATTTAGTTTGACGAATTTTGGTACCTCTGTTGAGAATAGAAGAAACTCTGTATCTGGGGTATATCAAGCGATTTTGATACACCTTTTTGGGTGCCGCTTTCAATAGACAATAACTATTTTTTCAATATTTTATTTATTTTAAAACATTATAAAATAAGAATATTTGTACCTAAATAGCGTATGTCAAATTTTAGATACTTTATATATATATATATATATATATATATATATATATATATATATATATATATATATATATATATATATATATATATATATATATATATATATATATATATATATATATATATATATATATATATATAATTTGTGTGTGTGTATGTGTGTGTGAAATATCAACAATCTAATAACAAATTGTTTTCTTTTAGAACAAATGTTTGATCTACTACGAGAATGTGCGAAAAAATATTGGCCCATATATCGTTTCACCTCCCCATATATTGTTACGGTAGGCATTTTGCATCCGAAAGACTTTGAGGTAATAATAGCTGCAAATGAAATTACTGGTATATACCGATTAACTAAAATTAGGCAAGTTTTTGTCCGTCGTGATTGATTGATAAGCAGAGTGATTTTGGAAGATTGAATCCATCACAACAATGCTTTGTATTCTGCAAATATGGCAGAAAATTTAAACTATTACAAGTAATAATATTTCAATTACTTATCAATTTTTCTACTTGCGGAATTGTGCTTGAATATATAATCTATATTTGTTCTATGTAATGGTCTTGGTCGATGGTTGTTTTCTGTTGGTATTTAATTCCAAAGCAAATATTTCTGCACCAATTAGAGAAAATTATATTAAAACTTGGGCACTTATTTTAAGCCGATTATTAAAACTACAACTATTAAATTCTAAAATCCATATAAAAATCATATTTTACGGTGTCGTCCAAAAGCATAGAAAAACAAGGAAATGAACTATATATTCAATACTATAACATATATGCTTCGAGCATGTCCGTTCAAATACATTAACAATTTTCAAATTTTAGATAGTTTTATCTCAAATGAAACACTTAACCAAAAGCAACCTCTATGATTTTCTCAAGAATTGGCTCGGAGAAGGACTGATTACAAGCACGAACAACAAATGGCAAAAGCGGCGCAAAGTTTTGACGCCTGCTTTCCATTTTACTATTTTGAAACATTTTCTCACTGTATTCAACGATGAGACCGAAATATTGATAAAGAAAATTGAATCGACATGCACAAACACTGCGGTAGCTCTGGAATCGTTGGTTTCACCCACGACCCTTCAGATCATTAGCGGTAAGCGATCGGCAGTCATCATTAACAATCATTTAGAAGCATCCGTTTTCAATAGAGACGGCAATGGGCATGAGAAATATTGATGATACTACTAAAACAAGATACCGCAGAGGGATCCGAAAACTCGCAGAAATTATATTCAGAAGAATCTGGAAGCCGTGGTTGCGACTCGCTTTCGTGTTTAAACTTTCAGAAGAGGGTCGAGATGAAAAATCTGTGGTTCAGTTTTTGCACAATCTAACGCACAAAATAATAATGGACCGAGAAACACAATTAATAAGTGGAAAGATATTGACCGAACACTCCTATTCCGGACGCAAAATCTTAAGAATGTTGGATATTCTCTTGATGTCTAAAATCTGCGCTAACAACATGGATTACGAGGATATTAGAGAAGAAGTAGACACCTTTATGTTTGCGGTATTCATTAAAGAAATCGATATTTCCTACTCACATGAAAGCTTTTTAGGGATATGATACGACCACGTCAGCCATTTGTTTTTTGCTATTGTCACTTGCGAATCACAAGGGCATTCAGGTAACGCTGAGCGTTTTAGTTTGATCTGTTTAAAATATGAAAATCGCAGAATTCTTATCCAAGGCGTGAGTTTGCGAACACTGAAACAATGACAAGACTATTCAAGAGGCTGATCACATATCTCATTATTAGAGAACGGTACAAAAACCTAAAAACTTTGTTGTGTTCAAGGAGCCTTAGTTCATTAATTGTTTCTTTTAGTCAATATAATTTTATATGATCCTAATAGTATTTCATATTTGATTATCTCCAACCGAAAAGAAATTGAAAGTTTCACTTTGCGCTTGGCTTTATTTTGGAAAAAGGGAAAAAGAAATACGTCGTGCAGTTTTCACTTTGCACTTTGCAAACTTAACACAGTGACAGCATGTTTTTGTTTTTGTTTTAATTTGTGCTTCATTGCTAAACAAATGTTTACATGTATACCTCAAATATGTCCGACAGAACGAAGTAAGAAAAGAAATTGAAGAAATCCTAGGGCCGAACAGAGTGCCTACTTATAACGACCTGCAGCAGTTGCAGTACACTGAAAGGGTCATCAAAGAAAACCTGAGACTATACCCTAGCGTTCCATTTATTTCCAGAATAGCTAGCGAAGATTTCGTAACTTACACTGGATATCAGATTCCCAAAGGAACTGTACTTCATCTGCACATTTTCGACTTGCATCGAGATCCACGAATTTATCCGGATCCGTTGAAATTTAATCCGGACCGTTTTTTGCCGGAAAACGTCAAACAGAGGCACCCATTTGCCTACCTACCTTTCAGCGGAGGCCCCAGGAATTGCATAGGTCGCTCCGGTCAGCAACACGTGGTTTTCATTTAACTCTATATTATTGCAGGCCAGAGGTTCGCCATGTTAGAGATAAAAGCGGTCATTTGCGGAATTATAAGGAAATTCGATTTGGAAGAAGTGGATAAAGACACTGACCTGAAATTTATACCCCATTTCATGTTAAAACCGAGGTCTAATATGAGGGTTAAATTTGTGCCTAGAAATAGTTTGTAATTTATATTGAAATAAATTGTTTTCTAATGGATTTCTTGTTTAATTTTTGTGTACAGATTGACTTTTTCAGCAAGTATTTATGAACTGTCGTGTAACGCTGATTTTTAAATTCCCAACTGATAAATAAAAAAAAGCAACAACCAATAACAAATCTAGTTTACGCTTTACGCTTTGCTTCACGCACATAAATAATTGAAAAAATATTTAAATTTATGTTCATCTTAGTGGTTTACTTTTTATTTTGACTAGGAGTACAATTTAGTACAGAAGTTTATAAAACATTTACTGAAGGCGTTAATGATAATTTAAAAATAGTTTTCTATATTCTCTAAAATTTATTCATATTGTACACTGGCTTCTTCTTCTGTTTTTTAGATGCTTTGTACCAGAATGCGAACGAGCATTTGACACAAAATATGAACAACCCTGGTTAAACTGGGCAATTCCACAAGAAAGTGACAGCGATCAAGTGATCGGATTTAAGAGCGACTCCTGTGACAGATTCTCCGTTAACTGGACGGCGTGGAACTTAAATAAAACTTGCTCGAAAGACACATTTGATACCAGTCAAGTGGTCAAATGCTCGCAATGGATATTCGACGATTTCGAAAGAACCATCATTAACGATGTAAAGAACTCCGTTTGTCATTTCTATGGTTTTAATAGTCGAGAATGTTGTTTTAGTGGAATATCACTTGCACCGACAACCAATGGAAAATCTCGCTCATCGGAAGCAGCCACTTTGCGGGAATTATCATCGGATCGGCTTTATTCGGAATTTTAGCAGACAGGTATTGTACCGTAGTTAAGTTACCCCGATATTTTTAATAAATGTTCGATATTTCAAAGGGCCATCCCTCAAGTAGTTTCAAGAAAAAAATTGTTTTTTTTATTATAATCATTTGTCCCAAAAATAATTCGCTTGAAAAAATAAATTCCATTTCCATGAACGACAAAATGGCTAAAACCTTGATATTGTCGTTTTGTTTCTAAAGTTAGATTTTGACTATTCTAGATTAAAATCGATTACTGAACACAATCCTTCCGGAAATGTAAATTTTTGGTTTGGTCTTTCCTTTGCTTCTCATTTCGAACACCCTGTATAACGGAATATTGTCGATATAAAAAGAAGATTCGGCCTGTGAAATATCGACCGCTAATTGAAAACACCCTCTATATATTTTTATATTTTTTTTGTTTAGGTTTGGTAGGAAACTGGTCTTCATCTTTTGTATCATATTAATGACAGCCTCCGGGGTAGCCCAAGTTATATCTCCGGAATATATAACTTTTGTTACCTTGGTATTTGTCAACGCACTTGGAACAGCCGGAGTTTACCCGTTGGCTTTCATAATAGGTAAGAAATATGGTGGTATAATTGTACTTGAAAGTCCTCAGCCAATTTTTTTATTGGGACACTATCCATTGTCTTGTTTTTGGCGGCAGGCGTGGAAATGGTTGGCAAACGCAAACGCGAAATCACAGGGATAGTTCTCAATTACTTTTATGCACTCGGAGAAGCCTTGGTTGCCTTGGTCGCATGGCTGACGAAAGATTGGGTGCTTTTGCAGTTAATCGTATCAGCGCCTTCACTTCTTTTTGTGGTGTACTACTGGTACGATTCGAGAGATCATTATACACTGTGTCCAAGACAAAAATATACCAGGTGTGCCACTAAGAAAGACTATTGGCTGTATTGTCGAAGTATTAACCGTATAACTTGCAGAAAAAAAAATTGTTACCGAAGAGGCAATGAACAATTGCTGAAAATTGATTTCAAGTTTCTAGCAAGGCTGCCAGAGAGGGCAAGTTGTGTAATAAATAGGAAAATGAGATTTTGATAAATTTTTACGTAGTAAACAGTGGTTAAAAATTTATTTTGTTTGAACTATTTTACCCAATCTGCTAAAAAAAACTGATGAGGGAGGATTAGATTTCTTATTATTGAAATATTTATAACTTTGATGGGGTTGTCGGAGTGCTAACTAGCTAGATGTCATTTTTTGCTCCTTAGGGCTGTGTTAGGTATTTTTTCCAATCGAAGATATATGCAAAAACAATAATACGAAAATCCCATTTTCTGATTGGTACTAGAAGTTGTGCCTTCTAGCGGCAGCTTAAGCAACTTAAAAATAATTTCCAACAATTCCTCATGGCGTCTTTAAAAATGCTTTTTCCCCAGGCCATGATTTCCTATATACAGCCGAGAACTCTTCTTAGTGAGACATACTGTATATCGTGGGAATCTTAAGAACCGCACCAAAGTCAAGGTCGCACGGTTTCTAAGAATCCCGTCCTCATGCGTCCTCATATAGTCGCTATTGCAGGATAATACCTGAATCGGTTAGATGGTTGATGGCCAAGTCGGAAAATGGAAAGGCTAAGAAAATAGTTGAGAAAGTAGCGAAAATAAACAAAGTAACACTATCGACTACACTTATCGATTCGTTTCAAGAAAGCAAATACAATCACGTAAGAAGATTGACTTTAATAAACTTTTGCGGCACCCCACAACGCAATCGATGCAATAGAAACATGAGAGAAAAATTTTCAATAATACAGCACCTTCTTTTTTAGGGGGAAAATTCTTCGGAAAGAGAGAATATGTTCCCAGTAATTAAGGAAATGCTTAAATCGCGAAAGCTGGTGTGCAGATTCCTGATTGTGTTTTATGTATGGTAAGGAATTAATAGGAAGTAAACTTTCCGTGGTCATTTATCATTGACTTGCACAAGTAGAGAAAGCTTTACCACAACACGTCTCAATGACGATTAATCCACATCATATAGCTATATTTCGAAACGACACACACTTAACTTGTTTTTACTTGAATATTTAAAAAGTTCTTGGCTTACTACTACCGAAGTGCCGAACTGTCAGCGGCCATATAGGGTGTTGAACACCGCTAGGTCTTATTGGTTGCCAACGATATTTGAAATGATGGCGCATGTACGTGCTGGATAGCCCATCTTAACATTTTTTTTCATGGTGGCTTCAAAAGTTCCTGTATTATCAGCATAAACAGGGCCTGTAGATATCTAGTAGCTATATGTGTAACGCTTCTGTTTCTGTCTTTCTCTAATAGAGTCAGAAGGAAATTAATCCTTCTGCAATTGAACAATAAAGAGTATTATCATTAAGATGATTAATACAGGTTTTCAACATGTTTCTAATTCCATGAATTGGTCTCCAAATTTGAATTATTTTTGTACGCCACCAGTATTCCGTGAACACTTTTTTTTATTGGATCGCGTTTATTTATTTAATTTCATTGCATTTTGCATTTTAAAAATTGAGATACGAATTTTTATATGAACCTTTAGACTCAGTTTGAATTCTAAGTAATCAATAAGATTTCGGAAAAAATATTTTCTGGATATACATACATATTATTTTCACAGGGCGGTAAACGCATTCGTATTTTATGGGTTGTCAATAAACGCAACCACCTTAAGCGGAGACAAATACGTAAATTTTGCCTTGGTCAGCCTGATAGAAATACCCGGTTATAGTCTCGCATGGATCTGTATACAAAAACTGGGACGAAAACCGTCCCTAATCCTGTCGCTGTTACTTTCCGGAATAACATGCACGCTAACGATCTTCGTTACCAACGGTAAGTGCTAAATTTAGTAAATTAATCAAAATTATAATTTAGGCGAGTGGTAAAAATAACAACCCCACCACATGCACCACCCCATCGCCCTCCGTCCATCATCACTGCCACTCACACTATTTGTATGGTCCTAAAATCCCTGTGAAAATTCAATTTCAGAAGAGCTCTCTCTTTCCCTTCAAATCAAATCAGGAAACAATCATTCATCTGTGGTTTCAATGTATTTGGTCTGTGACGCAAAGTGATGCAAATTTTGCAATATAAAAAGACGGCTAGTTAATAATGGATATAATTGCCTTTCTTTCGTTCATTTTTATAAATGGGAGAATAACACCTACTCTCGTTGTTACTCTAATGGCTTTATTTATTATTACTGTGTGTATAACCTAATTTCTTAAAAACCTCTAAAAAAACGCATAAAAATTAGAACACCTGGAAACAAAAACTATATATATTTTTGAATAATACTAATTATATCAGATTTTGACATGATTTATGCTGCCCGATGGTTAACCCGTACATCACACACATAATTAATAAGTGCATACTAACTTCTTATTTCCCACTGGCCCGAAGAAATGCAGATTTTATTCCAAAAACTAAGAATCCGCCCGAGTTTATTCCTCTTCGTTCGACCAGCATTCTTCCTACTTTCGAAAAAGTCTTAGAAACAGTAACAGAGCGACAGAATACTACCACAGAAACAATCAGGATTTCGGTAGGGATATAGCTGCGAGAGTGCTCTCGCCGAAGCAACGGAGGATTTATTCAGAGTTGAGGATGAAAACAAAACCTCGGAATTATTATTGCTAGATTTTAATAAGGCATTTGACATACCAAGAGACTGCTTTGCGACTCTATGATGTTATCTCAGCTGAACCACTGTTCTACAGCCCTTGCCTTGACGCAACGGACAAAAGGTGGATCCAAAAACTTGAAAACTCATGCTTGAGATAGATGAATAGAATTCAAATACGCCAAAGAATTTCAAATTTTCTCCGAATGGCTGGTTGGCTCAACATGCATAATAGATTTAAGTTGCATATGGCGTCTTTTTATTTCAACATCATTAAAAATTCCTTTAGAGCGAACGTCCACGGGCTTAAATTGCGTAATAGGAGTTTGTTGACTGTACCCCAGCATAGAAAGGAAATATTTAAAAGGACATGTTCTTACAATGTTTCTTCACTAGTTAACTCTCTGGACTGGGCTGGTCTCGGAGGTGTCTACCATGTATTTAGAGCTAAGTTTAAATTTATTCTTCTCAAACGTCAACAGTAGTGTCTTGCAATAGTTGTTTATATTTGTTCAACTTTTCCAATTTTTCTTCTCTTATTTCTACCTTTTCCCTTTTCCTTTCCTCTTTGATATTTATTGTTTATTTACCACTATATAAGGTTTATACTTTGCTATGAGGAACAATGATTTTTCTTTTTAAATAACTGTAGGTTTTGGTTAGATACCTGCGATTTATTTTAAGCCTTTTGGTGCATGTCTTCCCAATTTACTTACATTTATGAATGTATGTCTGTTGTAATTTTTTTTTTTTATTATTATTATTATGAAAATTACTTAAAATAATAATACCACGTATTTACCTACAATTTAGACATTTAACCAGCGAAATAAAGAATTTTTTTAAATTTTCTTTTGAAATTTTCGTCAGCTGTCAGATCAGGTCGAGAATGCCAAAATATACGCACAAAATATACATTATCATGCCATTAATGATAAAATGAAATTAACAATTTTTGCTATTATTGCTATTATTCGTAACTCTGTAACTCTGTTTATCAAATTTGATAAAGACACGGTGTTGTCGAAACACTTGTCATGTCATAATATATAATTTCGTGAAAATCTGAACTTTTAGTTCTTATTTATTTCCAGTTACAAATAATGTCGAAAACCAAATAGCATCCGTAAATCACTTTGCTTGCGGTTATAAAGCTGATTTGTCAGGAAGGTTTTAAACAATAACAATAACATTTTTACTTTAAGAGCTATAAGGATTTCTTGAGTGTCATCCTTCAGCACAATTTATGGTGGTTTGTAACCGAGCAAAAGCTTTTCGTTTGAAGTTGAAGACTGAGATCAATCCATAAAGGTATTGGATCGCGAAAGATACCAAAAGAATTTTTTTTAAGCATTATCAACATAAACCATACAACACAAGCCCGTAACTCTGAAAACATATGAAAACACTGCAACCATCCCAAATTTCACTTCCCAAGTAAATTAACATTTTTTCCGGTCTCATCGAGTTATAACATCACCAATAGAAAATTTTATTGGTAGTAGGTAACAACTGGGAAGTTATAACGCTATTTCTTCTTGGGAAACTCGGCATCACGTCTGCATTTGGGGTAGCGTACGTTCACACCGCCGAAATGTTACCCACCATAATAAGAAGCGGCGGGGTTGGACTGGCTTCTACGTGCGCAAGATTCGGAGCCCTATTGGCACCATTCGTTCCGTTGCTGGTATTAACTTAACAATTTTAATCTATAAGGTAGTTTATTATTCTCTTTTTAGGGCGTTTATTATAAGCCACTCCCGATGATCATGTTTGGTGGTCTTGCGATTTTAGCGGGGATGCTGGCCACCAAACTGCCAGAAACGCACGAAATTAAGTTGCCGGAAACTGCCTTAGAAGCCGAAGAACTTTAATTATAAATACTGTCTAAAATGAACTGCCGTGAATATCTCAGGTATCATAATAAACGATATGTAATGAAAGTCGGAAAACATTGCCAACCGAAACTCGTTTTACATTTGGATAATCTTATATACACATAATCTCAGTTTTACTCTAAGCTGATAGAGTGCGGGTTCATTACAAACGAGGACAAATGCTTGCAAGGTCTGAGATAGAGAAGTTAGTTGACGAGCTGTGATCTTTAAGCTGAGGAATTTTAGAATTCAAATATATCAAAAATTGTGTGGCATTACTTTATTACATTTATATTTTTCTACCCAATTCCTTTTGCTATACTAAGTGTTCCTAAATGTCAGGGAGGTAATCCCTTGACTAAAAATTCACGTCAGTATATATATCTTACTCAGAAAACAAGTGGTCATGACAAACATCGTTCGTGTGTATACATATATATTGCTATGATTATTTCAAATACGTAAAAGGGACTTCAGGCATAATACACGAAGTTATGTAGACGACAATTATTTGCTTAAGACATGTTTCCTTAATTGATCTCAATTAGGATTTTTTTCCGTTTTTCTGATGACGTCAGTACGAATAAAATCCGGGCCGGATTCATTTATTTATTATTTATCTGATTTATCTGCGGCTATGTATACTCTACCGAACAAAAGAATTTAGCATCCTCTACTATACAGGGTGTATTAGAATTCACTACAAAGCCAAGAATAAGTCTGCTCTTTTATATAAGCATGTATTCTAACTTGGTTTTCAAAATACAGAGTATCAAGGTTTATAGACAAAATTTTTTTATTAATCCTTCAAAAATAGCTGATTTTGACACAATCATTTGCTGTCAAAAAGAATTTTATTTTGTTTAATCAAAATAAAATTATTCATTCCGGTGGCGTCTCAGGCTCAAATTGTTTTAAGATTTTATTATTTTTTTAGACCAAACAATGAAAAATGAAACTCTTTTTTCCCATTTTTTTCTGGATCTAGCTTCGTCCTCAAAACTATTGCACATTCGTGTATGTAGTTTCCGAAGAAATCGAAACTTTGATAGATAACAAATAATAAAATAATTTAAGATACATATTTGTATGACAAAGCAGACACACATAAATTTTGCTAGTAAATACTTATTGTTTGTTTGCTATTTTCCATTTATTTCTACAAATTAGCTACGGTAACATATTGCTTCCAATGTTTTTGGTAATATCTAAAGTTATAAAAGAATATAGTTCAGCACGCCCCCTTTTTTGCAAAACAACTGCTAAAACTTCCGCATTAAGTTTTTGGTATATATTAGGAAGATAAAAACATTTCTTCGAGCTAATTTTGATTGACGAGCAAATCGATAATTTATTTTTGGCTTGGCAGTACGTATTAATAAAACCTTCATTATAAACACGATCAATGTAAAATATGGCCTATTCGCTATATTACTGCTTAATTATCGTATACGTATCCCCAGATCTCAAATCATTTTGAATCGCGGGTAGAATCCATGAAATCGCACTTTTTTCCTGTTTCTATTTTCTCCTTTCCATTAAGCTTGTTGATGTCTTTTCTTCTGTAGACTAAACACACCATAATAATTTTTGAGGTAAAATGCTGTTTTCATAAAGTCTTAAATTTCTTCGTATCCCTGAAATAACTTAATAGTATTAGTAGTACGTATTCTCTCTCTATCTCTTTAACCTGATCTACTTGTTACTAATCAGCATTTTCTATTTTTTTTGTTATTTATATAATAATAATGCATACAATTTCAGAAAAGTGTTTATCGCAATTTGTACAATGTATATTTATGTGTTTGTTTTTGCACCACAAAGTTCTAGCAAAACTAGTAAAAAGGGTTTCCAGTAAATTTCCGCAATTCTAAGCAGATTCTGAGTGGGATCTTATCGAAATCGGCAACTATTAGACTAAGAAATCTCTAAAATATATAATGGTTTCTAGATGTTTTCGTTACTATAATGCACGAAGACGCCAATTTTGGCTAGTATTTGAAAGATATTGACATAAATATGTAATTTTTTGGATCAAAAAATGATAGTTTTAGCTGATATTTTAAGTTTTCTTGCGGTTTTAGGTACGATATGTGTCGGAAAAGCCGATTTTCACTGGAATCTGTTAAAAATCAGAAAGAAAAACCTACTATCAATCCAAGAAAATGGGTTTTAAAGTAGTTATCTGCAGTTTTAATGTAGATTTCAGTAATGTAATTTATGAAAATGCAGGTTTTGACTATAATCCGGTCGAAATCAAGGGCGAAAACCAATTATTTGTAACAAAAAGAGGGGTTTTAAGTACATATCTGCATTTCTAAGGGAGATTTGGGTACAATAAGAGACGAAAAAGCAGATTCTGACTGGGATCTTATCGAAATCGGTACTTATTTGACTCTGAAAGGGGGTTTTACTTCGAAATTTAATGGTTTACTAAGGTTATTACTATAAAGCCCGATGACGCCGAGTTTGACTAGTATTTGAAAGATATTGAGACGAAAATAGTAGTTAATAGGTACACTATAGGCCACCCCCACTCCTCTCCCTTTTTGTGGGCCTGTCCTCCTTCCCCACGACTCTCTAGCTCCTCCCCCTTTACCCATAATCCCCCATTGGCTTATCCCATGGCCCCCATTGGATAAGCAACCAGAAATGTGGGGTTTAATCAATCCCCCTCCCCTAGTTTGCGATCAGAGCCCAGATATTTTCACACCCATAAGAAAAGCAATGGCGTCAATGAGATTTGATCATATTGTTCGCGTGACCATCTGCACCCTCTAGCGGTTCGAATGTAAACTAGTGTCCCCTCTTGGCGTAAGATTTTCTTTAATAAGGTAACCCCACCTAGTGAATATTGACCAAAACATTTATTTTAAAAACATATAGTTCGGCGAATGTCACCCTCGCGGGTACAAACTGTACTTTTTACTATTGCGCACAAAGGACAGGGAAAATAAAGACGAAAAGTGTTGGATTTATTTTTTCGGAACTGGAAGCTGGCTGGCACCACCAATAATATCTGCAAAACAAAAACCTGGTTAAAATTTTCATTAATAAATTAGCATATTAGAATCCATATACGTGCGTTAACTTCATACATATTTCCGCATTCTTCTGTTTTAAGGTATCGTGAAATATTTGACTATTTATCTGGGAAAAGTTCATATGTCGAAAATATTATGTGTATGTATCCGTGGTAGGTTTTCTTTGCTATTATAATTTTATTTTTATTATTTAATATTTACAAAATTAATTTATCTATCTTATTGATGATTTAGATTTTCTTTGCTATTTTATTATTTGTTTTTATTATTTAATATTTTCAAAATTAATTTATCTATCTTATTGATGATTTTAAGATATCGTAGTCAACTTTACTATTTCATCAATTTCTTTTATTTATTGGTGATCTTTGAGGATAGTGTACATACTTTTTTTTCGTAACTTATCTGTATCTACCCTTTAATCTCCTATCAACCCATGAAGCAAACTCGAAAGGCATCTTAACTAAAAAGTCATATACTTTAAAGCTGCTGCTACTACTACATGAAAGTGTGTTTCTATGGCAATCTCAACAACAATGAAATCTGGACGCTTATACTAAATACTGTAATACTCTTCTCTGCTAACGCTCTAGGAGACGCTATTTGAACCCCGTTCAAAGAAAAACTTCTACAGCCCAAATAACCTCTCTGAACCACACTTAAGCGCATCAGTCTTTCACTGTCTTGCAGCCTTCAGATTAATATTCCGTGCTAACTACGTACAGTATCTGAACTTTTCTGTCTGTGTATTTTGTTAGCCACCTTGAAAAAAATAAAAAAAGGTATGCGAACCTAGAGGATATTTTCCATATTTTTCACAAATGGAGACAACAATTTATGCAAGTATTATTTTTAATAATATTCCATCCTTCGCTATGACATGAAAACATCGATTTTTTAATTGTAACTTTTCTCTTTAGTCTATATCTGTTCTTTAACTAAATCCCACCTTTTTGAAAAACCAACCTCTAAAAATAGTTATTTTTCTCTAATATAAAGTTATACGTTTTCCTCAATGTGTGTGAATATTTTTGCTAGAGCATTTAGTTACTCAGTACATGTCGTAATCAATATTTTAAAAATATAATTCTAATGATACGTGTTTACAATTTGAAGATATCGAAACTTTTCCCAGTTTTATAAATGAGAGCTCACTACCAAACTACCAAACATCACAGTACAAACTACCGTACTACGCCCCCCTTGGACAAAATCAGGTTAGTCAGTGTCATTAATTCTACCTGCGATAACGAATAGCGTATTGTTAAGTAAGGTTTAATACGCAGAAAATTTAAGTAACGAATAATTGAAATGAAACTCACTAACATCATAAATTATTTAAAAAAATTAGAACAGTTGGAACTTACTGGAGTAACCAATTTGGCACTAAAGATGGAAATTTTCGAGACTCTACTAGGTGCCTACAATAAATTTTACTATTATTTTTAATGCAGTGACACAACGATTTTCTAGGTTCTGAATTTGATCAGGGGTATATGACCATAGTTTACTCCCACTCTAAAAGCCATGCAGTCTAAGCAATCAGAGTTTTTGAACGCCTATTTTGTGTATTATGTTCAAAACAGACACCCTCTGGGCCTACGAATTCAGCTACCACCTACTACTTTCACTACTATTAACAAAAAAAAAATTGGTGGCATTTCTATAATACGTGCAAAGTTTATGTGAAACTGAGTGGAAGACAGAGTAATGCAACAATATGTTCCTAAACATATTTCCATAGCATTCCGTAAGAGCTTACCTCCAAGTTTACTCATAGTCAGTCAAACCATCAAATGGGAAATTCCAATCCAACTTATGTAGTGGTGGAAATATATCAATCGCCTACGTTACCGATGGTACCCAACTGAAGCTTCTCCGTCTTCTTTACCCCACATGCCGACTTAAAAAGATACTGGTCTACGTCTCAATATTCCTGTTAAAAAAAAGGAAAGGTTCTATATTGCCATAAATATGTTTTTTCAAAATTTTACCTGAATGGTTCGTGATTCCTTATATATGCCGTGTTGGCAGCAATGTGGCGACGACTACGCTTAAACTTTCCATATCTCGTGTCCCCATGACTGGTCTGTTTCATATATGAAAGGTCACCTCGCACCGCTTTGAACCTCCTTAAAAAAACGAGGCAAGTCTTGTACTTATCATATCAAAACTTATTTAATCACCTCCACAGGGGGAGTAGGGGTTTCTAAAGTATGGTAGGTACATCTCCTTATTTTTTTTTAATTTAATGAAAAAAAGTGACGTAATTACTCGACGTAACTCGATCCGGATCGTTAACGCGTCTCAAGATGGGGGTTTAGAGATGCTGTGGTCATTAAATTGATTCACTAATCCCAGTACATACTGAAACCCCTTATTTCCAAAATAAAAAAAAATTGTTAACTGTTAACACACAAAAAAAATTCTCTCACCAATTATATTTCTGGGGTCG